TTGCTTGGTTTTGAATTTATATTTCGAACGAACGTCATTTTTACTTCTACATGAGTAGAACTTTGCATGATTGATGCTTCGAAGTCAACGGGGCAGTAGTTTTCATTATCCACGACCAGAAAATTCTGGGAGTCGATTTCAACATTTTCTCAAAAAGTTTTGGAAAATTTGTTGCAGCTCCAGCGTTTTCATCTTCGTTGTATTTTGGCGCAGTTTTAATGTTGTACGTTTTGAAGCCCATTATATTGGCTTTGATCTTGTGAAGATAGGTTTTCGAAATTTTTAGATGTCTGGGTGCAGCCCTCACGGACATGTTAGGGTTGCCTCAAAAAGATTTTTTACGTTTCCCGTCAGTGTACTGGCCTTCAGGCGGACAGTTTGAGCCGAGGAAATTTTAGATTTTGAATTTTTACTATCCTTAGATGTGTCTAGTGTGTGAATAATTTTTTCCGGGGAATGTCTTCAAGAATGAAGTGGTCATGAGCCCTTTTCCGATTCGGGAAAAATACTTTTTCGCACGAGTGGCAAACTAATTTTTCCACCTCCTCTACATTCTGTGCTGTCATTTTTTAACGGAAGGAGATAATCAAATTCTGTTTTCGGTTTTAGAAAGCTTATTCAATTTGTAAATTTTTACAAATTTCTACATATGCTTTCTACATATGCAAAATTATTTTTTAACTCGTTGAACCAATAGGGGGAACCTTGACACTTTCAATATGTGGGCTCTTATCTATTGTGTCGGGCAAATTTTGGAACGTTGTTCAACCCTTCCATGTTAAATTGTATTTAATCCGTTGACAGGCAGAGCGGAATATTTTTGCTTGGGTGTATTTTATAATTTCGACTGATATGGTTTTCTAGTGGGGGTAGTCCTGGTTTGTTCCTGTAAAATTTATATGATCCTTATAATGCATAATCGCATTGTATATTACACGGAACTTGGATGATCCTGACTCGAGGCGTTTTCGAGCAATCTTTCGGCAGGTGGATTTTGTCTTTTTTTCTTAGTCGTTGCTGTATTTTGATGCAATTGTGGCTTTATAGGATTTAATCCCCATCGTATTAGCTTCAATTAGACATATCTGTGATTTGGCTAGCTTAATTTTTTACCCCAAATTCCCTACCGACATTTTTGGGCTCACTTCACTAATCTCGTCGACAGTGTTGATGATTTTAGGGGTTATTACGAAAACTGGTTAATCTTTGTGGAGTTTGAAATCCGCATTCTGTCTTGCCTCGAACTGTATTAAAACTCAAATTGTGTTTTGATGAATTCATTCACTTTTAAAATTGTTGTGGGCAAATGTCGGGGAAAGCGCACGGATATTTTCGTAGCAGTGGCAGAATTTTTCTGACTTTTTCAACCTCATTTTGGAACGGTGGGGAATTTTGAGTTTCTGTCTTCAGATCCTTGTTGGCAATAAAATTTTACACAAAGTTCACCTGTGAGCAATTTTGAAACTTCATATTCTTACGTGCAATAATATATCAAACTTTAACGGCTTCCATTCCTGGGTAAGCCTTAGAGCATGCTGGAAAAAATTATGGGTGTCCTTACTTTTTTGGCGAAAAAAATAAAATTAGTCCAAGTGCATCAGAATTTTAAATGCAAAGACCCACATTTTGAGACCATTGAATTCTTTCTAGATTTTCTCATTAAAATATCGAATAACTAATTTTTAGACAAGTTGAAAATAGTATTATGGCCTTTTTTATCCCTCAAAAAAATCATTTATGTAGATATAGAAATAAGAAGGGAAAAATTAGGGGCGCTCAAATGTTTTGCCCGGGTAAATTTTTGGGGTTGCACGGGCACTGCCAGGGTACCGGTCACTACAAATATTTCCATTAGATTCGTCACCCCCATGACATCTTCCAAGGCTTGCACCGTCATTTGGATCGTGACATAGTACTTAATATAACTGTGGAATAACCCAGTCTGGATTCTCTGCCTATTCATTCCCAATTTTCCTAATATCCCCCACAATCGTGTTTGCAGCATTGGTAACGATGTACACCGCGCTTGACATGAAGGCCATCACGCGCTCAGTTTCGTAAAGGGCGGCAGTCATGGCACAAAATCTGCCTACCAGGAGGCCCACCTTGAGCAGGAGGGCGTAACGTAATGGCATCCGTCGAGCAAGAAAGGATATCAAGCGGTACTTGGTCAAGACATGTTCGACGATGTAGAATTGCGGATCTAGTCCGCGAATCATGAAGCTAATAGTGAGTAGTGGAGTAAAGAGGTATCCGATCCAGACAAGGAGTTTGATCCCAAATAAGACAAGGTTGTCAAGTAAGGTTTCACTCTGGGCTTTTGACTGCGTGGATAATATGATGACTGGAAATATAAATATGAAGGTACACTACCACATGTTAATACTAAATTTTAGTAATTGTACGCGAGGCTTCAAAAATTTGGCTTCAAGGCTGCTTGTTGCATCGCTATCACAATCGTCACGATTGATATTGCGATGCAACATCACCTGTTATTAAGTATATTCAGCCACTTTATGCGAAGACTTTGTCCGTCTGTCGTAAGTATGATTACGGGAGAATGGATCGACCTAAGTAATCGAGCTAAGAAATTGGTTCGATGCATCATGCAGGACCCCCGGGGGAGGATCCTATCCCCAATATTTGGCGTCAACCGGACCACCCCCTTGGCACCACGGGGTGTGGTCGGGGCAAGGTGAGATTTTTACATAAATAAAATCAATAAATAGTGGACGAGGTTAGGTGAAATGAGATCGAATAAAAATCGATGGATGGGGTGAAATGTCATAAAGAAAAATAGATGACTTGGGTGAAATGAGATAAAGTCAAATCGATGGTTGATAGAACTCTTAAAGTCTCCTATAATAAATCGCTGAAGCTACTTGCGTTTGGTGCGGTTTATTTACATACATATTTCGTTTTGAATTAAGACTTACAATTTTTTAAATCCAGTTCCAACTGCAACATTGCATTACCCCAGAAAATTGTGGTTTTCTTCTCCGCAACTACCCACCAATAATAAACAATTGCTCGACAAATAGCTATAACCGTCATAAACAACCAGGCCCAAATTCGTATATCCATCCATGTCTTAGGCGAATGTGGCGCCACGATTGAAATCGCTCGTCCACAGGGGAGCACAATTCCCCCCAGAATCCAGAACGGAAACATTGATTGTACCGTGTCAAATTTTCGCTTTGCCCCAACCAGGTGTATCCGACCTTTCCCCATACGAATATAAATTGGGGGTTTGTATAGAAAAGGGTACCGGTCGACGAACAACTTTTGCACGAGTATTGCCATCCCGTAGTGCCGATCCATAGTTTCTAGAAAATTAATAACTACCGAGATTAACTCACAGGGCAATCGTGTGAAGTGTAACCCCCCGATCTGGTTGAAATTTCGAAATTATGTGGTCCAGGTCAATACAATGAAGTGTTTTAGGGGAACGTTTCCTCAGCTATTAGAGTAGCTGTTGGAAATTACATTTGCGTCATGGGCGAATGCCAAATCGTATCTGGGAACTTGGCTACTATCGAATTTATTTCGGGTTATGAAGAAGTTTTTGCAGAAAATTGGACGGTTTGATTAAACCTTTCGCCAATTAGATAGGTGGGAATATTGTTTGACTTAAGAAAATAAAATAATAGTTGTTTCAAAATGAGATTATCCGGGTAACCAAAGTTTGTAAATAATTTCATGAAATATTTATTTATGTTCGATCGATATGGGAGAATACAAAAATAGTAATGTTCAAAATTCGATTATTAATCAAATTGCTAAACGTGATCATCAACTAAAGACAATGTATTTCTTAAAAACTTAGAATTGAATTAGGTTATAGATAAATTTGATGAATACGTCGACTTCGTTTAGCATAACCAAGCAAGCTTTGGAATCAAGTAAAATCGAAAAGATATTAGATATTCCTAATTACATATTGATTGCGTTTGGGTTCAAATAAAGTATAGATTGACATTGGATTTTTTCTAAGCGACGAATTATGTAACGAATGGGTTGGGAATAATCCAACCCTGTAAGATAGCGAACTACGATTAACTTTACTTAAAAAGCAGTTAAGAAATTTATTTTTTTACTGGATTACAACTTTAATATTCTTCACAATTGGATTAAGCTAACGAGCTTACGAAGTTTATCTGGGCCATGCTTGATTTAGAAATTTGTTGTGAACTACATATGCGAAGAAATTGGAGGTATTTAGATACATACATATGTACACGCCTAACCTGGGAGGATAATTGACACTGGATATACTAAATTCCCCCAGCCGGGTTTCACTACAGAAATATGTGAATATCTATTGTTTCTGAAAAGGTCAAAAAGGTCTAACATGCTACCTTTTTAACAGTTATGGTATGATTTTTAAAAGAAGAGTCCTTCCGGAAATAAGCTTTGTATGTAAAATAAATTAGTCTCCTTTTAATTTTCACATAGTTAATGGCTTAATATTTTGGCTGATAGTTCAGCTCAACAAGAACTTTTTGGCATCTTGTATACACAGGTTTTCTAAACGAAGTAATGACTTTTTGAACATTATTAATGCGAAGGTTAGTGGTAAACTTTACAAAAGATAAGCTTGTTGTGATGGGTAAATTTTTTAAAATCCCTAGATTTCGTCACAGCATATGTGCGCAACTATTCTGCAAGTTTTTATTTTTTTTCTGGAATTAGGTACGACCTAAAGTATTTTTTAATGAGTACTGACAAGGGATGGTTCCCGACTGCTAATCGCGTCCAGGGTACCCACCATGTTTTTTTAGAATTCACTAGGACCCCAGATGAAATCATTGTATGTAAGCTGTGGGTAAAAACTGCATGCATACCATGGACTGTGTTGATGTAGTCGTTGCAGGTAATCGTTTAAGAAATAGTGTAGAAATTTTTTTTTAGCTCTGGTAATTTACTGCAAATATGTAAATATATTGATAGAAGAACATTTGTTATACATAGGAACCTAAAAAAAAAACACTTCAAAAATTTTTTATTCAGGTAGATTAAAATTATTCCGGAAAATTTTGGATTTATTTGTTCCGCTTCTGATACAGTTAAACTGCATAGTTTATGTGAATGTAAATAGCTCAGAGTGATGTTTTAAGCTGTTCCAGCACCACAGCAACCCGTTTGAAATTGATCAATAAAAATTCTGCACAGTTGCATTAATAATTTTACTAATTGTACATAAGATGCCTTAATTAACATATGGTTAAATTTTTGCATTTATCTTTTTTTCGCATCTATGTAATTATTTACAATTACGCATACAATATTACATACAATACTTGTTGCATACAATACTTGTTGCATACAATATTACTGATGCAACTCAACTCAACTGGTTGGAAAATTGAATATGTCGACAGAATAAATACATAAATTAATCAATCAAATTAATCAAATTAATACTATTAGCATGGCACAAAGGCCAAGATCTGTCATGTGTTCAACTTATTGTGTACACATTCTGAATAACTTGGAGGTGGAGAGGTCTCGTCAAAAATGAGTGAGGATTTTCCTCTATTAGTAAATATTACTGAATCGTAATTTGGGACCGGGTCGTTCTGCGATCTTCCAGTTTCTAAGGAATTTTCTGTGTGGATTGGATCGTTTAGAATTGAAACTTCAATGACGACGTTGGTTGAGTCAAATCCAGTATTCTTTTGGCTTTGTCCGCCCTTACTGTTACATAACCACTGCAAATCAAAATATATGTACGAGCCTTGAATTTATTTTAGACAATTGAATAAATAAAAGTTACGATAAATTTCTTTATGTTTAAGTAAAATAGAGGGTGTGACACAACAATTACATAGATAAAACTTAGCTAATGTTTATTTAAACGATTGGATAAATTTGCTATAATTGTTGTGTCATTCTCTTTTTTTATATACTTGGTCTTTATGTAAATTTTAGTTGATTTTAACCAGTTAAAGTGAAACCTCACCTTAACGTAAATTAGTATAGCAATGATAAGAATTAGTCCAAATCCAGAAATTGTTAAAACTGTGATGTCCATTTTAGAAATGAATTGGTTCTTTGCTCTTGAATATCATATGGAAGTATGACTAGTCTACATATGTATTGAGATCATATGTGCATTGCATGATAAGCATTATATGGGAACCTTCATATAGTACGTCATTGTAAAATGTTGTAGGTGGGTTTAGGTCGCCGATCTTACTCGTGTTCAGCTTAACGTGAGGTTGATAGGGAAACGGTGGTCTAAAACTCAGCTATTTTATGACAGAATATATGTATGTTCCCTAATAAATGGGTAGGTATTATGTCAATGTGGTATGATAACTCATAATGTAACACAGTTTTACGGCCTTTATTGGTTATCAGTAAACCAAACGTGAAATAAACATGATCAATTTAGATAAGAGAGATATGATGCAGTTCATATTTTCTTATTCCGAGGCTCATTCGGTTTATGCATATGTAGGTCTGTAATATTACGATATTATCCACGATAACTCTTGAAATGATGCTAAATTCGTGTGAACATTTTATCACATGTTCCTGGGGTCAAGTTCGAAAATGGAGGTCGTAGTTCACAAAAAGGTCACAACCCTTATTTTACGGGTTATTCGTCACATGGGGTACCATATTAGAACAGAGCTTCACCTATAATTAAATGGCGTCAACAGTTTTAACATCTGACCTTTCAGTGACCTTTTACGTGAGGTCTAACATAACAATAATGAATTTGACCATGTGTGGGGTATCTATTGAAAAATATTGTAAGTTAATACTATGGGGGTGACATGTCGATGCGGGGTAAAATGAAACTGGGTGGGGTACCTTTAGACAATTTAAGAAATTGACAAGGACCGGGTGGGAGTGTGGAACTTCGTATTTCCGATTGACAGTACTACTGTACTTTTCGCTTTCTCTGCGATGCATTTCGTTTGCAAGGGTTTACTTGACATGAAAATGCTTGTACAAAAACTTATACAAGCAGTATCGATGTGGACAACATATCTGAATAATTAAACCAACTTACTCATTTTAGATAATGTATGTTTCCGAATCATGCAAGGAATGGGCGTACGTGAATCCTTTGACAAAGTTAGATACTTATACATATGTATGTAGATTCGTGGCTGCTTTCATCGATGGTATTGAACATAAAAACATCGAGGTAGAACAAATCCAATTGTATTAAGGGTTCTATTTACACATGTTCAGCTTGTTCTGACTTGGCAAATATTTATAGAGAGACTGAAGCTTGTGCAGACCAAGGTTTCGTACAAGAATTTCCAAGCTTATCAAAAATGATCCACAAAACTCTTGTCGAATTCCTCCTGGTAACTGCTCTCCATTCCACCTTGAGCAATGACACCCTCCCCAACGGAAATTTTGGGCACTTTGGTCCATGCGTAATAAAATTCGTAAGACTGAAAGACACCTTGGAATACGTCGACCTGACGGAGCAACTAATCCACGCCAACAATCCAACCACACTAATCTTCACGGTCAGCGGTAAACCGAAATTTTACCACCCAGATATTCACGACAGTATGAACACTCTTGACTTTAAGTTCTACGAGGTCTGCACGATCACAGTTTTTGTAAGCTTTAACAAAAAGGATAACAATTTTCGCTTACTTTATCTTAATAACACTCGAGACGTTCTAATGGAACAGGAAGATTCCACACTTGTAATAATTTCGAAATATTCCCCCAAACAAGTATTTAAGCTAACGTGCCCGGACGATTGTAGCGTACAAAGTAAAACACTTGTGCTTCGTTTGAAACGATATTTTGATTTCCCAAACTCAATTCAATCCGCAAAAATTGAATGGTTCTTTATCTGCCCGTACTGCAAAAATTCTTTTAGATACATTCACTACACTCATAAAGTTAAACAACTTACGGTAGCTATGTTTCAGAACAAATGGGGAAGCAAGCAAAAAATTGGAGTTTACTTAGGGTACACAGCTAAGAAAGTGGCAATTTGTGGGAAAGGGCAGTACTACATTGCACCCGATAGGAGAAACTGTTATGCCCATGATACATTATATATCACTGTATCTAAAATTTTAAACGTCACCTTTGATCATATTTCAATTAAACAATTTCAATCCAAACCGTGGGGTTTTTTCGAGCAGGGTTACTTAAAAGCAACCTCAAGTTCCATGAGATACACGTATTCCCAAATAAAATCATTTCATTTGGCCGAATATGCGGGATCAGACGCGCTATATTGTAATTTCAATGTATGGTCAGAAAATTCAGATTTGGCAGAGTGGGCCTCACCATTTTCTATAGGGGTGTGGTTGGTGGGCTTCGTTACCGTCGTGGCTACAGTCCTGTTTGTCACCTTAAAGGATATATATCAATTCAAAAAAGATACTGTTGCTTATGAGATCCTTAGCCGTTTTGGAACGCAATTTTTCATAATTTGTGTTAAATTTCGCAGGTAAGAGCTGCGAATTAAGAATCTTTCTTTGTGGATCGGTGTTTCTCTTTGTTTTACAAGTTTCATGCTCCCATCCCAATACGAGTTGTATCTAACGGCTAATCTGGTAGTGCCACCACGGTACAAAGTATTGCGCACCCTCAGCGAATTTTTTGACAACAATTATACCCTTGTTTATGATTCGAGGGAAATTGCTAACTACACTTCTACAAGGTCTCGGCTAGTGGATGAATTTTTGCGGAAGTCGTTACGCGAATTCCCCCACGGGAAAACAATTGTTACCTGGTATGTATGTACCTGTGTGTTGATTAAATTTTATAAATTTCAAAAATCTAGTTTTGATTCTTAAAAAAAACAATGGTTGAAGTTCGATTTTATATATTTAAATGGTTACAATTAACTAATTTGCCTATTTTATATCACAAGGCCGTACTGGAACAACTTGACCAAATATGTCAGGAAGCGTTCCCCCAGAAACGTTATCCTAATTGACGATAAGGCTTTGTCATTTCGGGGATTTCTCTGGTTGCAAAAACGTTGGTTGAAAGGGAAATATGATTGTTTCGTGGTTTCTGATATAAGCCTTGTGAAAGCCATATTTTATCGGGTTCAAAACATGTTGCGGGTTGAGATAGTGGAGAGTATAAAGGGTCTTGAGATGGGTGGGTTCAGAAACCTGTGGTTCAGGCAATTTAAACATTACCGTAAGATGAGGGCGATGAATTGGCCTTCCAGTAAACCTCCGTCACCTTACATTTCGATAAATACCCTCAAACCATTCTTCAAAACTCTGGCCCTAACAGTGGTCTTGTTCGGAGTCATTTTTACAGGAGAGGTTATAACCAATGCAGGAATGCGGGGACGGTTATGTCGCAAGATTAGGGATTTTGGGGGCTTTGTAAATCCCTCAGCTCGTCGTGGATTCTATTCACGAGGTAAGTTGATCATCTATATTATAAGGTGGAAATGTTTCATTTCCCTCGCCAACAGGCATTTCCACGGTGGAAATGCCACCTAATTATTTAAATATATAGTATTAAAAAATAATTGGGTGAATTATGAACAATCCTTTATTTTCACGAAAATCAAATAAGCTATCGGCCGGCGGTAGACGGGCTTTTACGCTAGTACATTAAATTTAAAAGAACAGAAGGGAAACGTGACGGAAAATATTCCATTACTTACGTATTTATTTACGTACTTATTCTATTTTGTATTAGAAATATCAAAACCCGACGTCGACAGTGATGCATTTGTTGCACAAATGGCGTCTGAGGAGCACGTTCTACGTATGCAAATTCTTAAGAGGAAATTGGAAGTGGAGGATGCTAAACTAAACCTAATTAAAAGACGAATGGAACTTGTGGAGATCGATTCAAAAAACCTATCCAACTGATGAACTCAAGAAATCGGTCGTTGTAATGGTTCACCCGAACAAACTTCAATTGTTACTTTTATTGTTAAAAAGATAATTATAAAAAATATAATCATAAATGAATATGTAAATATATTTATATTACATAGTAAGCGCATGTGTCCATAGATTGGTAGATATACATACATAAATATCTATGTAAGTTAGGTTGAAAAAATTAAGTTTATTTGGTCTAAAGAATTTATAAGTATGTAAGTTGTGCAGGACTTAGTTTAGTGTTAGAAGGTAAGAGTGGAATGAGTCACAATTACTAATGATAGGCCAGATTCCATTCTTCTCATGAAACAAGGCAGAATACTTATTCACTAAAATAAATATAATACATAAATTAAGGATCCATACCCTTTATTCTCTGGGTTGACCTACATAAACTTATTTAAGAAAGTCCACAGTAATCTATGATGTACCTGATACATGAAGTTGTTGCCGCATGGCACTATCATAACTGGGACTGCGAGAAATACTTTAATATTATATTCATTTAATAACTAAACCTTCACGAAGTAAGTTTCAAGATTAATTGTATGCGTTAATTTACAAAATACGATTTTCATCTCATTATCCTGATTAAATTAAGTCTACTTCTATGTCCAACGTTGAACTCAGGCCCGAGACATGTATATTTATTAATTCAGAGTAAAATGGTGTGTTCGCAGAGCTCAAAATATGTCCGACAAATTAAAACAAATGCATGTGTATATCGTTGTATTAATTTTTAAAAAAGACTTCGGTGCAGCCGATGCTTAATTTAAAGACAATTTTATTTATTAATTTTTCTAATTAAACCTAACCTAGATTAGCTGCATTTAACTAATTTTGTCATAAAATATAACTAAACGCTACGAATTATTTGTTGCCTAAGGTCAACAACATTCGTAGAATGCCACGCACAATACCCTGCATAAATTTAATCACCGTCCTCTTCGTAATCGTCATTATTCCCTCACATTTCAAATCAATGGGTTTACAGCTCTTTCTAAATTTCGACATGTATTTCACTTCGCTCCCGGACCACCCCGCCAGAGCTCCACCTTGTTTCCAAGACTGAATACATGCCCTCGACTCGCTGAGAATGTTTCCCGCGCATGACAACATCGCCGCCCACGACGCAATAAAAAACGGGATACATGAGAGCGGAAGAATCGATGCAATACGATGCGACGCGTCCCCGCCGCCCTTCCAATTCCCGCCAATCAT